CAGCGCCGCTTTTCCACGCTCTAAAGGGGAGGGAAGGGAGCCACAGAGCAGGTAGGCACCTTCTCTGGTTGCACAGCTAGTGAATGTGGTGCCAGCATTCAGACCCAGCAGCATGACCCCAAGCCCTCGCTCCGACCACAAGACAGTCCCCAGGAGGCTGGCAGAGGCGAGCAGACGACCAACCATGCCAAGAAAAGGCCGAGGCCCTGCCCTCCTCCTCAGGCCTGACCCACAGCAGGCCTGAGGACCACCCCCTCGGCTTTGCGGCCACACGGGCCGATAAATTTCCTTCTGCTCAAGCCATACATCGTGTGGGTTCCCTGTAAAGTCAGACCAGAGAGTACTAACTGACACACATCACCTTGGTGGGTGGCAGGCACCCCCCCACCCCCGCAATCCAGGCCAGGAGCTAGGGCGCCATCCTCCCCCCTCCCTCTTCCTCGTCCCTCACGTCCAACTAGTAACCAAAGCCTGAATCCCAAATACCACTCCAGTCTGTCCCCTCCCTTTCCACCCTAGTCCAGGCCACCACCATTTTTGCCAGTTTTTGACCACAGCCTCCTTGCCAACTCTACGTCCAGCCTGCGAAGTTAACCTAATTCCCTAAGATCCATATCTTACCATGGTCCCACCTTAGGTAAATCCCATCCCTTTCTCAGCTCTCTGGTCTCACCTCCCTCCACACTCTGCTCTAACTACCCTGCTTTTAGGGCACCCTGGCCCACACCCCTCTGCACCTCTGCCCGTAATGTTTTTCTTCCCCTTCTTCGTCCATGAACACCCATTCAGCCCATGCCTCCTCTATGAGCCCATCGCTCTGTGCTCTTGCATCTGTCAACACTGGCGCTTCTTATCAGCTGTTAACGTTAGCTCTGTGAGCAACGCTCTTTACTGGACTGTGAGCCCCTCAAGCGCAATAGCTCCGTCTCATTCACCTCCTCATCCCCAGCCCTCAGAGCACACCTGGCACGGAGCCGTCACTCCATAAATACTCATGGAAAAGACAAAGAAATGAAGCAGTCCCCAAACACAGGGTGGGTGACACTCTGTCTTCTCTGGGAGTGGTCAGGTTTGAGGAAATAATAACATTACACGATCATTGCAGTGCAGAAATCTTTTATCTATAGACAAGCACATTACATATTTCATCCTCAGAAGGACGTTGTTGCCTTCGTTTTATAAATAAAGAGACTGAGCCTTGGCTGGTGTGGCTCAGCGGATTGAGCGCTGGCCAGCTAACCGAGAGGTTGCCAGGTCAACTCGCGGTCAGGGCAGGGCAGGTGTCTGGGTTGCGGGCCAGGTCCCTGGGTGGGAGTGTGTGAGAGGCAACCGAATCTCTCATACATTGATGTTTCTTTCCCTCTCTCTCTCTCCCTGCTTTTCCCTCTCTCTAAAAGTAAAATAAATAAAATAAATCTTTAAAAAAGAGACAGGTTGAGGTTCAGGCAAGTTTACAATCTAGAATTCACTGAGCACAACCACAAAATCCACTCTCATTCTGAAGCACCAGCTGGGGCTGGACTCTGCTCAGACCCCAATATACCTGGTAGAATGAAGCCGGTTTTGCCCACACTGGCCACATGGCGGCAGCAGAGTGTTGGGTGAAAATTACTGTCTGCCTCCTCCCACACCTTTAGATCTGGACCTGAGACTCGAAAAGCCACCACCAGGGAGAGACCTGGGGAGAGAGGCCCTGGCTGGAGCTGTTATTTCAGTATCTGCCACAAACAGTTCAAACTGGAAGGAGAGGCGGGGGCACCACTGATTCCAAGAGTCAGGAGCTGGAAACATAGACTATATACCACACACTTGCATTACCAGCAGATTTAATAACAAGCCACAGCAACTGATGGGTCATTGCTGGGGCACCCAAGACTTCCACATGGGTGACACTGACCCACAGCTCTCAGCAGGGACCAGTCACTGGTCTGTCAGATTACGGCCACCTTATACCAGACACAGGACATGTGCATGTCCTCAGAGGCCCAGCAGGCAAGGGGCACAGCCAGCGTCTGCTGCAGAGTATCCAGGGTGCGTGGCCACTTCAGCGCCCAGGACACACTGCAGTGGCCCACGGGCTTTCATTCCTGACCTTGCAGCCCGACGCCCACGAGGACTTCAGGAGGCTGAGTGAAGCTCATGAGAGGCAGCAGCTGAGTGCAAGGATCTTCGGTGGAGGTCTCACCACACCCAGGTTTCTCCGTCAGTCGTGTGCACCGTGCGTGGATCTAACGCAGCAGAATTCCAGCAGGCTGAGGGAGCACTCTCCGCAGAGCAGACCACGCAAGGCTCAGGAATCTGTACGAGACAGCCGGCCTCATCTTTGCTGGAAAGGGAGCTGCGCTGTGTGGAAGCCAAGGAATGAACTGGATAAACTCCAACAGTGTTTTCCAGCTCAGGGTGAAACTCAGGGGCCAGAGGAAAGTTAAGGCAGGATCTCCACCCAACTGTTGGCCCATCGTTCCCCCAAGGACTGTGCAGACGGACAGAGCTTGCCAAGGATCCAGATGCCCAGCCTCGCTCCGTGGCGCTCCGGTCTGCACCCGTTCCCCCACCCCTCACTCCCGGCTGTAACCTGAGAGATGGGGTGGCAGCAGCGCCCATTTCCCAACTTCCTAAATTCTTTCCTTCCCACTCTGTCTGGCAGCCTTGACCAGGGTCAGGGTTCCACAGCAAACATCTCAGTATCTTTCCCAGGGAACACTGAGGTCCCCAGCTCATGACACACCCTGACTCAACAGGCCTTGAGCGGAAGGGACAGCAAATGCAGAAAGTTGGATAAAGAAAGCCTTTGCCTACCCCCTCTCCTCCTCCCCTCAGCCCTGCCTGGGTGTCAGCAGACATGATGGTGTTGGGACACAGCCCTGGCCTCTACTGAATCTCTCTAGGCCCCTAAAACCACCCAGACTTGAACCCAAAGGCCAATCCAAAGTCATCACCCTTACTTCTGATCCCCCTGCTCTGGCCACTGGGTTTTTTTCACAGATGTATAGTCCAGGTGACCCTCTGAGCCCATCCCCAACCTCAGGTTCAGACCAGGAAAGCTGAGCCCAGCTGGCTGAGGAGCTGCTGCAGCATCTGGAAAGCTGTCCCCCGCAGCAAGCAGGTACCTAACAAGGCTGCTGGGAAGGACGGACAGGAGGGAGGCAGTAACACGAGGGTTTGGGGTTCTGGTTTCTTTAGGAGGTTGGGGGGATCAGAATAGCAAAGAGTAGTAGGAAGTGGGGAGGTGGGGACAGAGCAAGATGGGTAACCTAAGGGAGGACTTCTCACTCAGATGCCACCCCCACCCCTGAGCTCAGAATCAGGAGCCCCAGGGTCCAGTTCCAGTTCTGTCATTCACTTGGGCACATCACTTTCTTCTCTCTGTGCTTTTCCACGTGTAAAACGAAGGGTTCACAGTGGACACGGAGAGTCCTCCACCCAGCTGGGGAGGCAGAGGAGCGCACGGGGGAAGGACGGAAAAGCAGCAGGCGGCCTCAGGCTTCATCCGGGGTTCGTGAACCTGGATGCAACAGAGAAGGAGTTCCCACCCCTCCCCCAGGACACAGCCCAGGGAGGCGCGGTGTGTCCCCAGCACCCAGCCTGCTTCCCTGTGCCAGGAGCAGACACACACAGCCCCCTCACCGCCCCAGACAGCCCTCTCTCCAAAGGGGTGAGGATGGCGTCCAGAGGTGAGATGTCCACAGCTCAGCAAGGCCAGAGTGGCTTGGCCACTGGGATTAGCACCACACCCTGGGCTGCTCTGGATAGGGATCGCGGGTCATCCGCTTCACAGCTGCTTAGCAGCACCCTGCCCACACTGTCCCCTTGCCCCTCACTCACCAGCCCCTCCTCACATGCATTAACTGCTTTCTCAGAAGAAAGCCAGGACTCTGCCTCTGCAAGCAGGGAGGGGTTTTAGAGTGGGGCGGGGGTAGAGACACCCCCAATGGACTGCCACACCCACAAATCGGCCAGGACCCCCCCAGATACAATGCTGAATGGTAGAGAAGGGCAGTGAAGGCTTCTCTGCCCAATCTCTGTGGCTCTGCCCAAGGTGGCCTTGGCCTGAAATCACCTAGTCTTTAGGCCACCCAGGCCCTTCCCTCCAGATGGTTCCCGTCCTTGGAGGGACCCCACAGCTGGGAATCATCAGCCCCAGCTTCCTGGAGAAAGTGCTACTGAGGCTCCCCCCAGCTGTTAGCAACCTCCATCCAATACTATCCCCCAAACACACCCCAAAACTCCTTGCTGTGGGACACCTCTGTCCACCCCAACCTGAGCAGGGGCTGGGGGAGTCCCCCTTCCCCCTGCACACTTCCCCACCCCCCAGGGTCATCCAGACCCCTGGCTCTGCCCTCCTATCCCTGCCTCAGGAGGGAGGTCACAGTGAGGAATCTTTCTCAACACCCCCCCAACCCCACCAAGACAGACTTTTAGATGGAGGGGAGGGGGGACACAGAAGCCAAAGGCCCAGGGTGTCCGAGTTTCTGCCGCAGCCTATCCTCCACCTTCCAGTGGAATGGGCAGTGCCGGGACGCTGGAGTTGGAGCAGGAGCAAAGTGGGTGTGGGGAAGAAAGACTCCAAGGTACACCGCGGCCCCTCCAGATGCCCTCCTCTTGCGCGCCCTGCCTCCCCCTCTCAGTTTGTGACCGCTTGCTCTAGAAAAAGCACTTGGGTGGGGGCGCCCCTGCAGGAGAGATGATGCGGGGAAGGGGCAGCCCCATCCCTCACAGCCCAGCACATGAGGTGGGGGTGGGAGCAGCTGCGTCCCCACGCCGGGGACTTCCAGAGGCGCGAACCAGAGGCGCTGAAGAACTGGTATGACTGTACCCCCTCTGCCCTTCCTCACCTACGCAGCCCGCGGGCCTCAAGGGCAGGAACCCGAGCCCTCGCTTCTCCGCAGGGGCCATGGGCACGCTCCTGGAGGCACCGGCACCCGCGGCAGCTTCCATGAAGTCCTGCGCGGAGTTCGAGGGTGGCCTGGACAGTCGGAACCTGGAGCGCAGCGGGGTGCCTAGGAGTCGTCGCTGCCGGGCTCAGCCTCAGGGGATGTGCGCGGCTCACGGGCCAACAGAGCAGTCAGGCCCTGGGCTCGGAGGAGGAGGTCACCTCCGAGGAACAGGACCCCACAGAGAACGAGCAGTGCCAGCACGCTCAGCACAGCTGCCTGCACCAGGCGCGGCCCTTCTGGGACCTCCGGCTGCACGCCCGACTGGTTGCAGCAGGAGCTCAGCCACGCGGCTTCGGCCGTAGCGCCCGCCTGCGAGGCGTTCATGCTTCAGCGCCAGCTGCCCAGATGTGCCCAGATGTGCCCTGATGTGCGCGAGACCGCCAGATGGTCAGACGTGTGGGAGCTGGAGCTAGCTGGCGGGCCTCGGGGCGGACCACAAGCATCCGGAAGGGGCCTTAAGGGGCGGGTCCCAAGCACCCCTAAGTCCCCACCCTTTGCGCAGAGCCGCTCAGGCCCTTCCTAGACAAAGGGCTCCTCCAGTATGAACTATGGCCCAGATTTCCGGGCGGGGGACAGATCTTCTGGCCCCAAAGGCCCACACACCGAGGCACGCCAATCTGGCCCACTGGCGTCCAACCAGCCAAAATCAGGAATCCTGTCCCCGAGGCTCTCCCTCCCTCTTGGCAAAAGAAGTCAAGAGATGTCACCTTACTCAGAACCCTGAAAAGCTCTTCCAGACCCCATCCCAGGCGCTGGCTGGGGTTCTGCCAGCTTAGCAAGGCACAGGACCGGCAAGAACCATCCCCATGTCTGGGCTCCCTGGCCCTGGGGCAAAGCTCAGTACTGCTTGATGGCCCAGGTCAATGAGCAGCCTCTAAGACCTGAGCGGCATGTATCCTTCCCACCCTTTGGGAGCCTCCTGGGGGTGGACAAGCAGGCCAGTGCCTCCTTGGCCCCATGCAGGGAGAAAAGGGGGCAGGGGGATTTTAGGGCATACCCCCATTCCTTTGCTCAGGCCCCAGGGGTCAAGGAGAGTTACAAAACAATGGGAAAGCAGATTTGAGTCACCAAGCCTTGGGTTCTGACCTTGAGTAAATTAGTCCCCTACCTCTGGGGAAATCTCAATGCCAAAAGGGACAGAGATGTTACTGTCCTGCCCACCAAAGGGAGCTTGCTGCCCGCTGGTTATCCTACAGCCAAGCCAGCGTCGGAGCATGGAGCAGAGTCTGGGTGCAGAAAATGAGAAGGTTGGGATGGAGGGAGACCCTGTTGCCCAGGTCTCCTGAAAACTCCTGTAGCAACCTCCAGTTCTTTAAAACAAACGCACTGCTGGCGAACACCTGTACCATCCACCCGCTCAGAAGAGATGAGCTGATGGCCGGCTAGGAGGAAAAGGTCCCCGGACCACAGCAGGCCAGGTAGGGACCATACACCATTAAGGACTTGCTGAGAATGTGCCTTCCCCATCTCCAAATCCCTGAGAACCTTCTGAGTTCTCCAATCCCCAGAAATCAAGGGTAGAACATCACAAAACCTGTCATGAAATATCACATGGCCAAAAACTGCTTGGAATGAGAAAAATGTGCAAACACTTTCTGGCAATCCCGGTTCCAACCTACCTGTTACAGGCCGATGGGCATGGCCCCTCCCCCACCCCAGCCACTTCTCCCTGAGCACGCCTCCCTGCACACAGTTTAGTCTGTTACAACTGGCCCTGATGTAAACAAAAACCATTGTAAAATATGGAATAAATCAATAAAAAGCGCACAATGGAGTTCATTGACTGTGAGAATACTGGTGTTGAAACTAGTCGAGGTACCAAAGGAACGTCCTAACAAGCAAGCGCCAGTCCAACTTGGAAGAAGTGGCACCACACACGCCTCAGGCTGGCCCCTCTCTCCCCTGAAAGAAACCTCAAATCAAATGAGCTTTCTGGTGCACAGTGGGCCTGTCTGTGCTCTAGGGAGACAGAAGACATTCTTTGGAGCCACCATGAAGACCACATAATGTAAAGGGTAGGAATGTTACAGCTTCCTTAGGAAGGGAGGACACACAGTCATGTTTAAAGCCACAGATCCTGACCTGCATCCTCATTCAAGGGACCGACCATGCTCACTCCTGGGTGGGTAACACTATGTGAATACCCAACAAAGTACAAAATCGGTTGGCTTTAATCTTTCTGTAATCCGATCCATACATTCCCCTCATCTTGGAATAATGTCCTCAACACATACCTGTGTCCTCAGAAGTCTATCAGGAAGCATTAATGTTTCAGGGCAGAACAAACACAAGCAAGGGAGAGACAGCTCAGCCCAAGCTCACATTCTCAACTTTATTCGCCATCCTAATGATGGTGCTTCTGTACAGTAGAGAAGGAGGGGGGACCCCCCAGAGGGGAGGTGAGACAGTGTTGGCCTGGCTTAACCGTCAGTGAAGGTTACGAGGCTGACCAGAGACTGGCAACCACAGGTCAAGGAAGCCAGGGGGTGGCCCTTCCAAGTCTCATCAAGGACCTGGATCAGGTTCCAGAGCCCCAAGGGCCTAACAGCACAATCCCCAGAAACCAAAGTCTGCGAGCCATCAAGGAGCACCCAAGGCCCCCAGCAAGGCCTAGAGAGCAAGGGTGTCTTTGATGAGCCTGCGCATGGTGGTGGTGACTGAGGTGCCCAGAGCGTCGGTGATCTGGAAGGAGATCTTGTAGAGGTAGGGCTGCACGTCCCGCAAGCCTGTGTCAAACACGTTGTCCACCTCCGACTGCGTGGGCATCTTGGGCAGGTACTCATGCCGATTCATCACTTCCACAATGTTGATGATCTTCTCACAGAGCTTCTCACCCACCTTCTCCCGGCAGATCTGCCGCTCCTGCTCTGTGGCCAGAGCTACCACGTGCACCTTGACCGTCCACACTTCCCAGGGGATGCACTCGTCTGAGAAAGGCCAGCGAGATTTCTTCTTCTGGTAGAACTCCAAGGACATCTGTCCCAGCCCATCGCCACCTGAGTTGCGCAATGCATCCTGGGGAAGAGGTAACAGATGAGGAGGCCAGGAAAAGAGTTCTTGCCCTGTGAGCACCTGCTTCCTACATCCCAGGGGACTATGCTGTCCTAGCTCTGTCAGTCCTTCAGGGAGGGCAGGGAAGGAGCAGAGGCGGGAAAGGATTTGGGTAACATCACACCGCAAAACTGCGCACCTGAAATTGAGTGGTTCAAGCAAAACAACCAAACCTGCCTCCTTGCCCAACTCCTCCAGCTTTGTTCAGAATTGTTTTTTAAGCATTTTATTCTGGGCCAGGCACTTAAACACACAATCCCACTCGCTCCTCTCAACAACTCTGGGAGGCAGGAATATTGAAGCAAAATGAGGCTCCGAGTCAAACTATCTTGCCAAAAGTCACGGGCCAGGGAGTGGCTGCGCCAGGGTTCGAACCCACATTGTCTAATTTCAAAATCCTTGCTTTTCACCCTTACATGGAGGGCCTTCCTTCTACTTCCACATCCCTACCCCTGGGGCGCCCGTCCTTTGAAATGTGTTCTAGCATCTCCTACTCCCCAGGTAAATCCTACTTGCCTTCTCCACTGCCAGTTAAGCACAATCCTCCCACTTCTCTCACTCAATGACAACCTAAACTGAGTCTCTAAAGAAAAGGAGGGGGGAGTATAGAGCCCAGTGATCCTTGGTTACAAAGAAGGAAGCCAAGGAATGGAAGAGGGAAAGGAGAGGAAGGACAGACCAGACCTGGCCGCTTCTCCCTCTTCTCGTCTGAGAAGCAAATGGGACCACCTGGTCCAATAATTCTGCACATGCTCCCCCCACCCCTGTGGCATGTGGTGACCCCACACTCTTCCTCCCCGGGGCAGCCAGGACCCTTTCCATCTCAGCCACGGAGAGCCAAGCAGAGGGTAAGGATGCTTCCCTCGAGCCCTGACAGGACTGGGCCACGCCCTACCTTGAATTCCCCAACAACCTTGCGCAGGGCACGGTCCAGTTCCTCCGAGGAGACTCGCACATAGGTGAAATCGATGAAGTCACAGTCGACATCCTGGGTGCCCACGGTGCCGATGGAGTACGTGCCCTCCTTCTTGTAGTGGAACTTGCCCGTGCTGCGGTGCAGGAGCACCGTGTGCAGCACGGCCAGCATGGCCTCCTCCACCTGCCGCCCCTCCACCGACACCTCCAGCACCTCCGAGCGACAGTTCATCCTGCAGCCCGCAGCCCACAACAGGGTGGGGGACAGCAGTAAAGACAGAGAAGCTTCGCCCTACCCAGGGGCTGCCCTGCAAGAGGAGCCAGGTCAGAATGCTGACATCTGCTGAATGCTCTGCCTGTCACCTATTCGCTTCCTTCCAGGCCCAGCCCAGGCCCTGCCTCCAGAGCCTTTCTCTGCATTTCGGCGGCACCCACTCTCAGAGAATCTTAGACTATGGGAGCAGAAAGCGGGGAGCTTCAAAGCTACAAGGCCAAACAACCCGCCAGGCCTGAATTCCATGACGGTATTCATTGCAGTTTAAAACCCATGCTCCCTGTGCACCAGCTGTCAGGCACTGGCCATTAAAGGCGAACATGGCCTCTGCCCTTGAGAAGCTGCCAAGGTGGAGGAGAGACAGGTGGGTAAATGTTACCATAGTGGCGACACTACATGGTGGGAGAAGGAAAAGGAAGTCTGACTTCCTGGGACCTCGAATGACCAGGTTAAGGATTTGGACTCTGTCCTAAGGGCAATGAAAAGGCAATGCATCACTGTGCCAAGATCAAATCTGTACCTCGGAAAGTTAACTCTGAAACAACTGAAGAGGGAAACACCAATGTGACCACAGAGACAGAGACTGAAGTAACACAGACACAAGCCAAGAAGTGCCATATTCTCCCCTAGTCTCTAGAGGGAATGCAGTCCTGCCAACACCTTGATTTGGACCCTGTGAACTGATCTGGAAGTTCGCCCTTCCAAGCCGGGGTGCCCAAACCCAGGGCCACTGAACCATGTGCTAGGAACAGAGCTGCTGTTCTGACTGCTTCTTTGTCTCCTTCCAGGATCAGCAGGTGCCCCTCCCCCTGGGCAGTCAGGCCTTGCAACTGCCAGCGCCCAAACAGGTATTTCCCAACAAAAGCCTTCAGTTAGTAAAGACAAGACTTCAGGAGTCTGAAATCGGAAAAACTACCTCTCAAAGAACTTGTGTCTGAGAAACAGGAACTACTCCTCCATAGTTTGCACTGCTTCACTTTGTAAATGGTTCCCGTTAGGTTGGTCTATGCCCCCAAGTTTTATGGAGGCAAACTCTGTATGGTCCCAGGACCCATGCACAGGTCCCTCCAAATGGGCAATGTGCCAAGTGGCCAAAGAATGTTCAAGAGTTTAATAAAAGTAACAGTACTGAAGGTCGTGGGTGATAAAGTCCATTTTTACGACTCTCTTAGGCTTATCCTAGATAACATTACTCTGGAGAAAGATGTACATTTTTTCCTCAATGCAGATGAAAAATATGTAATTCGTATAAGCCAAAGAGCTTATATCCCAAGACATTAAAAAAAGACATTTTATAATGCTGGGGAAAAAGAAAGTAAGCTAACTCTGGCTCTTCACTATTTGGGGAATTACACAATGCTCTGAGAAGTCAATGAAAGCTAAGAAGGCTGGGCTTTAAAGCCAAACCGACCCATGCGCATGCACCCCAAACCTCGCTTACTCCCAGGGCCATCTACAGACTCTGGGGGGAAAACTTGCCACTCTTAAAACGAAAGGCTGGGCAAGGAGTCCAGTCAGAGGCCACCACAGCAGCGGCAGTTACACAGGCAGTGAAATGGATGTGGGGGGAGTGAAGTGCGCCGTGTGGGGGTTTTCATGCCCAGCAATCCTGGGTGTGAATCCCAACTCTCTCATATCTTGCTGTGACCTTCAACAAACCCCACAACCTCTCTGAGTCTGTTTTCTTACCTGCAAATTTGGATTGTTGTGAGAATTAAGTAAAACTACACATGCAAAACATAGTAGTATAGTGGTTCAGAACAGCAGCTCTAAAGGCAGGCAGCCGGAGCTCTGCCAGCTGCTCACTGTGTGCTCTTGGGCAAGCTGCTTAACTCCTATGTGTCTTAGTTTCCCCTGTCAATAAAAAGGGGATAGTAACAATAGCCACCTTAAAAGGGTTGTCTGGGAGATTAGATGAGTTAGCATCTCTAAAGCACTTAAAGCAGTACCTGGCAAGTAGGAAACACTCAGCAAGTATTAGCTGCTATAGTTATTATACTGTAATTGCTGAAAGATGATGCAAGGCTACATGACTGCACTGGTGGAGGGAATGAAAAGAAAACAGACTTAAGAACCAGAACTTAGTAACTAAATACAAGCCCAGAGCAGGAGGGAACAGTCAAGATTCTTGGCTGAGCGTGTTCAGCTTACCAATCTCCCCTGACGGGGAACTCAGGACCTCCCCCAGCACATCATCCCCTCTTCAGACAGCTCTACTGAAGAAATTCGTTTCTTCGTGCTCCAAAACACTAGTCCTAGTTTTGGTATCAGGAGCCACACAGAAAAAAGCTCACCCCTTTCCCACAAACAAGCCTTTTAGCTATTTAGAGGCAAATTTCTTCTGCCACCCCCTCACCCCTTCTTACAGATTAAACGATCTCCATTCCCCGTAAACTTGCCAGCTCCATATCCCACCTTATCTCCTCAGGGTCCTGACAGCTCTTTCTCGGTTTATTTCAGTTTGTCTCTATCCCCTGTAAACAGTGGTGCTTACCACTGAACACACAGGCAGCGGTCAGAAATCCAACTGGCTCTGCCTCTCACTGGGCAATCAGCCCAGGGCCACCTGTACTAGCAGTCATCTGTTCACAGGTGTTACCTTGTCCTCCCTCTCCCACCGGCAGACAGTTCCTGATGGGCAGGGGCCGTATCCTACTCATCACCAGAAACTCAGTACCTAGACGCTAGTACAAAGTTACTGCTCAATTCACCCTGACCCAGGAATTCCAGGTCCTTCCAAGGGTTGCTGGATTCACTTCCCTACACTCTTAGATCAAGGATAAGCAGGGCTCTCTTATTCTTTTCTGCCCTCTAGTTGAGCTCCATCCAGCAGTTCCCCATCTAGAGACTCCCAGCTCTGGTCCAGCTCCCCTTTCTTCCACAACTTCCCCCTCTAATGTCCCCCACAAACCTTCAGACAAGCCATATACATCGCTTCACCTTTGTCCCAAGCCCAGACTCTTTCTTCCCTCATTCTCAGCGCTATTCTAGGCTCCACTTCTGCAGGAAATCAGTACTGCAGCCTCCTTCCCACAGCATCCACCTTTGGGCCGCGATGAGCTTGCCTGTCCTCTCACCCTCACCCCTGCCTCCGATGAGCAGGGAGTTCTCCGAAGCAGGGCCCGGGAAGTCTCGTCACTCTGGTACCCCACCCCCCACCCCCGCCAAAGGCCCAGGTCAATAGAGCACAGGGGCGGAGACTGACTGATGTTTTCTCAGAGCCAAGCTGGAGCCCAGAGCACCCTTATACACACCTTAAGCGTATAGGCTGAAGCAGGATCACTCAGGCGCTAATCATCCTCTTCCTCCTCACGCCCGGCTGCGATCCCCACAGGTCCGCCCCAACCTCCGCGCGGGCGATCGAGGGCAAGAGGACTAAAAGCAAAAACAAAAAGCATTCGGCAAGGCATAAAGAGACTTAGGCAGGACTCAGGAACGACTCCTGATCTGTGTCCCGTTTTTCCCACCGCCACTCCCCAAGAACCTACACAGTTCGGATACCAAGGGTGCAGGTGACTCGGCAGAGGTCTCGGGGACGGCGCTCCGCGACCCACCTGGCCGGGCTAGGAAGTTCGAGGCGCGTCCTTCCTCCTGCCGGCTCAGGGAACGCCCGCGCTTGCCCAAAAGAAGGGGGCAGCTGGTTAGAACGGGGGCCTACCTCCCCGAGCCCGCGCCCGGGACTCGCGGGCAATGCAACCCCGATGCTGGCGGCGCCAGACCACCACCAAGGGAGGTGAAGCCGGCCCCGGAAACCCGCGCCCCGCCCCTGCCCGTCGGACGGCTCCACTTGCCCCAGCGGCCACCGGCGAGGGGGAGCACGGCTGGCCTAACCTTGACACGAGTGCAGCTTCCCAGACCGTTTTACACTCACGTGAGCGGAAAAATATAGTCTTACACTTCCCCGTAACTTCTGTTCTCTCTTGCTCTTGATTATCTCTCGAATTTTAAGATTAGATGGGGAGAAGTACCCCCCTCATCTGGACGCCTCCATTCACTCCCACCACCGAGAATGTTGCTGTGTTTCGCGTGGAACAACTCACTTCCGCCATAGAGATGAGAAGGAAGGAGAGGCCGGTGAGCTCTGTGCTGCCTCCCGAGGCAGAGAGGAGTCATCCGCGGCGAGCCAGCCCCTGAGGCGGAGACGTGGTCCCTAACTCCGGCCTCAAAGGCCCGAAAGGGGTACCGATCGCCCAAGATGAGGGGCATGCTACGTGGAGAAGTGCCCTGGAGGTAAGTCCAGGCCAGTGTGCTGTATGACCCTGAGTGGATGGCAAAACTTTAGCTTTTCTAGTGCATAATAGCCAGGATCCCTGGTCCCACGAAGAGGCTGGAGAAAGGGACTTCACCTTACCCTGTGTTATCACCAAACAGAAGCACGACTTGGTGCTTTACCTGGCCCAATCTGGTGATAGTTCTTGTAAGGCTGGTAGTTCTGGCATTGTCTTTGCTTGTGCCTCTTGACGTCACTCACCCTTTCTGATTTCCTCCTCTAACCGACGAGCTGTTCTAAGGATCACAAGAGATCATTCATGTGGAAAACCTTTGTGGACTGTAAAGCGTTATATGAATATGAGTTCATTTTTAGTGCTGTATAACTTCCTGGGAGCATGTTTGCTTCTCCAAGTAGATTATATGCCCAGGGCAGACAGGGGTCTTTCAGTTACTCTGTTAATGCCTGCTGGTTCTGGCATGCCCCCAACTCCAAACAGGAGGAAGCGACTCCTAAATTGTTTACTTGGAGATTAAGATGCTCATTTTTCTAACATACACTTTCTCTCCCACAATAATAATACAAAACATTTATTGAATGGAATGGAAAGGGCATGATTCTAAGTGTTTTATATATGTTAATTAATTTAATCCTAGGACATAAAAAATTGATGCTGGGACACGTTGTTAGTTGGCAAAGGTCGCTGGGTAAATGGCAGAGCCTGGGGTTCAAATGAAGGATTCCTTACCACTACAGAAGTTCTCTTCCTGGTTTCTCCACCCTCACCTTCCCGTGTACTACGCTGCCCCCAGCACCTTCTCTCTGGCAGAGAAAAGCCTTGATTAGTAGCATTTGCCAATTTTCCACTATCAACAATTTCAAGCTATAGGCCATGGCTGAATGCAGAGTCCAGAATGAATGAAAGATTACATTTTGATCATCAGAGTTACAATTGGCTGTAGGGTACCAGGACAAGCTGGCTCCAGCATACCATTGTCCCCTACCTGCCTTTAGGGTTCCTTCTCCCACCCAGTCCTCCAAACCCCCTATTCAGCCTCTTCTGGCTGACCTCCCTACTCCATCTATTTCCTGTCCCCTTTCTTCCTTCCCATAGTTGGGCCCTGTGCAGCCTTGGTCCCTGCTTTGTCTCTGTCCCAGTGTAAGCCTCTCGCCAGGCAGCCTCAGAGTACCCGCAGGGCCTCGGGAAGGAGAAAGCTGCCTGCCCTACAGACCAGCAAACTTTCCTGGAGCCTGGGCTTACCCTGCAGGGAATCAGGATAAATATTAAGAGGGGAGGGTCTGCGAGGAGGCAAAGGATGGGAACCCTGGGAGGTTAGAACTCCAGGGTGGGGGGAACCAGAGCATAATTCCCAGGCACTGCAGTGAGTGAGGGAAGTGGCTGACCTCTCTCTACCTCTGACACAGTCCATCTGTCTCAGGGCCCTTTGCTACCACCATCTCAACATCATCATCATCCATACTACCATTCATTGAGACTTACAAATGGTACCAATCCAGCACTTCACACACACTATTGTGTTGATTTCTCCAACCACCTTTGAAGGGAAAGATCATTTCCCCCCAACTTACACATAATGCAACGGAGGTTTAGGGATGTAATGACTTGCTTCAATGGCTGATTTTATGTGTCAACTCGTCTGTACCACAGAATGCCCAGACATTTGGTCAAACATTATTCTGGGTATGTCTGTAAGGGTGTTTCTGGATGAGATTAACATCACTGCTTTCATCCCACATAGAATAAAAGGCCTGACCCTGGCACAAGCGAGGGAGGGGAACTCCTCCTGCCTAACAGCTTCCAAGGGACATTGGTTTTTCTCCCTTCAGACTTGAACTGAAATATCTGCTCTTCTTGGTCTTGAGGCTCCCAGCATTTGGAACTACACCTTTGGCTTCCCTGGGTCTCCAGCTTGCTGACTGCAGATCTTGGGGCTTGTCAGCCTCCATACTCACAGGAGCCAATTCTAAATTTATATATATGTCTATCCATCCTATTTGGTTCTGTTTCTCTGCGGGACCCTGACTAATGTACTTGCCAAGGCCACACAACTACTCTTTCTTCATTCCACCAGTCCTTTTACCCATTCTTGTCCCTACTCCAAAACACACCCTGTCCATGGACCCTTTCTTGCCTGAGGATGAGGCCGAGGCCTGTCACCTCTCATATCTCAAGCTCAGACGCTGGTCAAGGCTTGCCTCCTCTTACCTCCCTGAATCCTTCTAGGGTGGTTCTCATGACCCCTCTGTTCTTGGGTCCTACACCCATGTGGGTAGTCCTGTCAGGGAAGGAAGGTCTTGGTCAAAATAGGGAGACAGTGTGGAGTGAATTCTCCCATCCTATGCCACTACCCTTGATGATCGAGCTGTAGTCATTCATTCATTCATTCATTCATGCTACACATATATCTGTCCACATGCTAGTGGGCCCGTGTCATACCAAGGTGGACGAGTCACAGCCTGACCCTCTGGGAGCGCAGAGCCTTGCAGAGGAGATGGACCAGGAGATATATACCTGGGCAGGAGAACACAGCAAGTGGTATGAAAGAAATGGCAGCAGGTTTTGCAGGACTAGAAGGGGCCAGCATGGAGGCCGCTGCTGTCATTCCAGAGAGATGCCTGTGGCCTGGATAGAAAATGACACATTTAGAGTCAGGAGGAGTCCCAGGCCATGCTCTCAGCAAGCTGGGAGGTGACTGGGCCCCAGAAGAAAACCAGCGCAGCTGCAGTGAATACATGATAACCGCCTGTGGAGATGGACAGGAAGGGGATTCTGGAAGATGATTCCAGAAAGAAGTGGTGCTACAGTGAATTCCCCTGGGGAGGCTTCCCTGGGAAGAGGAAAGAAAAGAGTCGGGGAAGAGGTCTCACTGAGGACTCAGGGTGGAAACTGAGGGTTCCGAGGCGGAAAAGGCACGGACGTCTCAGCCAGAGCCCGAGCCACGGCTAGCAGGCAGAGGGGCCGTTTGGCCGAGGCCCTCTGAGCCAGGCCCGCAGCAAAGGTCAGTGGAGGGACCGTGAAGGCCAACTTGAGACCTTGGGAGTAGGCAGCTGGCTGTGCATGATGAGTGTGACCTCGGATGTCCCCACCCATCCTAGTGCATGCCCCAGGGGAGAGCTGATCCCTGAAGCTGGCCCTGCAGGCCACCCCGAGCCATTCCAGAGCTGACCCCTGTGGCGTCACAGGAATGACTCAGGCCCCAGCAACAACAATAAGTGGGACTGACGTCAGGCTGGGGGCTCCTGACGGTGACCAGCCTGGCTGGGTGGCCAGCACCCTGCCTGCTGACATGTAACCAGGCTGGGCCTCAAGGGTGAGGATGGCCAGCTCTCCCTGTCTGACATGTGCCTCCTGGAATCCTGGGCAGGGGCTTCTCCTCCTCCCACCCTTTCTGGGATGTTACTCCCAGCACCCCCCACCCCCCACCCCCCCCACTCCCCCCCACTCCCACCCCCACCCCACCCCACCCCCGCCTCCAAGGCAGAGGAAATGGCTGGGCGGACGAGAGAGTGACAGAGAGCGTGAGAAAGAGGCACCTCCCAGCCCAACATCATCAGGCAGCCTCTAGACCTGGACTGGGCTGGGAGGTGGCACGTCTGCTGCCAGTTCTCCTGGGGGACGTGGGGGTCTGTCCTTCCACGTTGGGGAGAAGTGGTGCATCTCTTCTTCTGGGGAAGGTCTATGTGTCTGTTCCTCTGGCCAAGTTGGGGTGGGGATGAGACTTTATTTCTATGTTAGTCCCACAGGGGTGAGGAGTCCTCTCTCTGTCCTGCAAAGTCTGTGCATCTGTTCCTTTGGGAGGCATGTGCGTATCTGCTGTTCTTTGGGGCACAGGATTCTGTGTAACTGTTCTTGCATCTTGCAAAAGGGAAGGGCCATTTACCCACCCTTGTCAGAGATTCTGTCTCCCCCTAGGGGCTGAGTTTCTCTCCCTGGTATCTTGTGGAGCTGCGGACATCTCAATCAATCCTTGTGGTAGCCCAGTTACATGGGGTGGGGTCCAGGTCTCCTGCTTGGCCTCCCCCAAGGCTGGGCTCTCCGGGTGGGGGGCCCTTCTCTCTGATGTGCCAAACTAGGAGGGTGCCCCATCTGCCTGGCTTGCAGCTGGACGCGGCTCCCTGCTAACATGTAGCAGGACAGCCACCCCGCCTCCAGCACTCCACTCCCTGGCCCGGCAGCCACCCCCAGTCCCTTCGGCCTCGCCTGAGTAGGGGCTGGACAGTGCCAGCTCCTGAGTCAGACCTTGAGGAGACCTCAATTGGCAGGGTCAGGGCCTGCAGGAGGCAAAGCCAGGCTTGTGGGGAGGATGACTGGAGCATGGGCCCAAAGGCAAAGAGCGAGGCAAGAGGCAGAAGCCAAGGCCAGAGCCTCCAGGGCCCCATAGCCCTCAGGCCAGCTCTGAGTCCTGCTGAGGACCCTGGAATGTGCCTCCTTCCCTCAGAATGTCCCTGACTATGTGGGGAAGGAGACATTGTGGGTGGGGGTGGAAGGGGCTTTTACTCAACTCTGCACTAACTACTCCCTGTCTTCACCACAGGGAGCTGGAGGTTTCAAAGTCCCATTAGCCAGAGATACCCCCTGTCCGGAGCCAAGGCAGAGCCTGGGGGAAGCCTGAGTGTGGAGCTGGGGTGGAGGCAAAGGTTCAGGGCTGGGCTCTGGCCGATCCAGGGAGAACAGAGCAGCTGCTGGCTGAGCAGTGGGACTGCAAGGCCAGGCCTGGCCCGGGCCAGACGGCTGATGATGGACAGAGTCTCTCACCTTTCAGAATCATCTTCCGAGAAAGCCCAG